GATCTCAGCTCACCGCAACCTCCACCTCCTGGGTTCAGGCAATTCTCCTGCCTCAGCCTCCTGAGTAGCTGGGATTACAGGCACGCGCCACCATGCCCAGCTAATGTTTTGTATTTTTAATAGAGACGGGGTTTCACCGTGTTGACCAGGAGGGTCTCGATCTCTTGCCCTCGTGATCCACCCACCTTGGCCTCCTAAAGTGCTGGGATTACACGCTTAAGCCACCGCGCCCGGCCTTCCTTGTGTGTTTAATGTAGAACTTCAATTGCTTTGCAAAATTTGACTAAATAAAACTCAGCTGGAAGAATGGTTTTTCAGACCCCTTGCCTGCCATAGTCACAGTTAAATCCATTATCATTTTAAGTTGCTAAAAACAAAAAATCATTTCCTTCTGTGTCACCATTAGATAAAGTGAGGTTTAAAAAAATACTACCTTCAGCAGTGAAAGAAAATTGAGTATGCTTTACTTATTAATTTTGGGAGATGTTATTAACTTCTCCAAAGTGTGTTCTCTTTTCTTCCAAATTCCATCACCCCACGGGCGGTGTGCCCTTGCTTCTTTGTTTCAGGCTTGGCTTTTATACCTTCCCCACCCCAGGAGAAGCTTCCAAAATCCACAATAAAAGCTTATGTTTAACGAGCAACCTCATTAGCCCTTTTTACCCCAAATATCCGAGCTTGAAATGCTGAACAGTTTGTGTTTGGCAGCAAGCTCAGATACGACCAACTGTTCAGCCACATATTTTGACATTATATATACACCCTGGAATTGATTTGTGGTTTAAATATTTGTTGGATTCTTGCTACTTAAAAAAAAATGTTTCTAGTTCAAGGATTGGTGGGAACACTTTTGTTTGTTTTCTTAATTTGGCTTTCTTGCTTGTTTCTCTAATATTCTTGGGATGCCTTTCTGCACTGTTGGCCAGCTAACTTCACAGCATTCCCCAGTGAAATGACACAACGTGTGTGCAGAATGACTCTGTGTTGGATATGCCCTGGCTGATCAGAGAACCTGTTGAGCAGTTTGGGCATATGGAATGCAGCAAAAGGTCATTAGAATGAAGCTGACCCCCAGGTGCCAGTCCCTGCCTAGGCTTTTCAACAACATTCACAGAGAACTGACTACGTAAAGAAAACCCTGCATAAAGAGAAAACCCTACGTAAAGAGAACCTGTGAGGGGCTGGGTGTGAAAGTCCTGATCCTATGATTACCATAATCTAGGAATAGAAATAAGATATGTGCAGTCAGTAACTGAAAGAAATGCCACATCAAACCTGAACAATGCAACATGAACTTTGTTTTCCCTCTTCCTTCAGTTTTGTTTTTCTGAGCTATGATTCACATACTTTTTAAAGTATACAATTTGGTGGGTTTTAATATGTTCACAAAGTTGTCCAACTATTATCTCTAATTCTAGAACATTTTAATCACCCCGCCAAAAACACTGTATCCATTAGCAGCCAGTCTTGATTTCTCCAAATCCCCCCAACCCCTGTCAAGCCCTCACCTACTTTCTGTCTTTATGGGTCTTCCCATTCTGGACGTTTCATATAAATAGAATCGTACAATACATGACCTTTTGTATCTGACTGCTTTCCCTAAGCATGATGATTTCAAGGTTCTTGCAAGTTTTAGCACATATCAGTATTTCATGCCTTTTTCTTTTAATTAAATTAAATTAATTTAATTTATTTATTTATTTCGGGACAGAGTTTCACTCTTGTTGCCCAGGCTGGAGTGCAGTGGCACCGTCTCAGCTCACTGCAACCTCTGCCTCCCGGGTTCAAGCAGTTCTCCTGCCTCAGCCTCCTGAGTAGCTGGGATTACAGGCGCCCACCACCCTACCCAGCTAATTTTTTAAATTTTAGTAGAGACTGGGTTTCATCATTTTGGCCAGGCTGGTCTCGAACTCCTAACCTCAGATGATCTACCTGCCTTGGACTCCCAAAGTGCTGGAATTACAGGTGTGAGCCACCGCACCCAGCCTCGTGCCTTTTTCTAGCCAAATAATACCCTAATGGATGGCTGTACCATATTTTGTTTATCAGTTAATGGACATTTGAGTTGTTTCCCTTTTGGCTCTGATGAATAATGCTGCTAAGAACATTTGTGTACACATTTTTGTGTGGACATACGTGTTCCTTTCTCTTGGCTGTATACGTAGGAATTAGAATTGCTGGGTCATACAGTAATCTTCAATTTTCTTATTTGAATACAACAAAGAGCAACATAATTTCTCTAGTTATCATTTTTTTTCCTGTTTAAACAATAATAACTATATGCAAATTATAAATACTCAAACAGGGCCGGGCGCGGTGGCTCAAGCCTGTAATCCCAGCACTTTGGGAGGCCGAGGCAGGTGGATCACGAGGTCAAGAGATCGAGACCATCCTCGTCAACATGGTGAAACCCCGTCTCTACTAAAAATACAAAAAATTAGCTGGGCATGGTGGCGCGTGCCTGTAATCCCAGCTGCTGGGGAGGCTGAGGCAGGAGAATTGCCTGAACCCAGGATGCGGAGGTTGCGGTGAGCCGAGATCGCGCCATTGCACTCCAGTGTGGGTAACAAGAGCGAAACTCCGTCTCAAAAATAAATAAATAAATAAATAAATAAATACTCAAACATCCAAATTTATAGAAAATGAACATTCACCATGCTTGCCCTGAGTTAACCAGTTAGCAGTTTTTCCCCAGGTATATGCAAACATTTATTATGAATGTAGTTTTTTAAGCAAAAATGGCATCCCAGATCAATTTATCGTCAATGCATTAAGGAAGCTTATAAATTTGTCATAGTAGGTCGCAATCCCATCAGTCCCAATTGTCGACATGGAACTCTCAGCACCAGGCGCACCATGCTGGCTCTGACTCAGAGGGCATTCCTGTGTGGCCTGGGCGGTGCACTCTGCACGTGTGTGTGTGGCTTGTGCTGGCCAGGGCTCCGGGATGCAGACTGTCAGTCCTAATGCTGGCTATGAGACTGTATGTGAGCCCAGTGTTTATTAAAGTGTGTTAAAGATCACGCAGGCCAATGTCTACACTTCCAGGGCCATTCAGGTTAGCCTTGCTGTCCCAATGAAATGAGCAGTTTTGCTCCTTTTACTCTCTCTCCCCCGCCTTTTTTTTGAGACGGAGTCTCGCTCTGTTGCCCAGGCTGGAGTGCAATGGTGTGATCTTGGCTCACTGCAACCTCAGCCTCCCGCGTTCAAGCGATTCTCTCGCCTCAGCCTCCACAGTAGCTGGGATTACAGACACCTGCCATTATGCCCAGCTAATTTTTTTTTATTTTTAGCAGAGGTGGGGTGTTACCACGTTGGTCAGGCTGATCTTGAACTCCTGATCTCAGGTGATCCACCCACCTCGGTCTCCCAAAGCGCTAGCATTACAGGCATGAGCCACCATGCCTGGCCTCCTTTTACTGTCAGATATGAGAAATTCTATGGTCCCCTTAGTTCTAGATCACCCTGATATTCTTCTGAAATTCTATTTTTTGCTCCTGCAGTTCCTCAATAGCTGTATGTGGAGCCACCTTTTGTGCTATCCATTTTCAGTCACAGGGAAGAGAGAGTCAGGGGCATTGGAATTTTGAAGGCTCACAGCATGCAGCTGTGGGTACTCTCAGGAAGAACAGCTCCTTTTGCTTACCCAAAGCCATGTATGCCAGTGCTGTTTTGATTCTTTCCTTTCTTCAATAAGTACAGGTCATACACGTTACTCTTGTTTGAAAGGCTGGCTTGGAAGTGGTCTCTACATTCTTTCTTTGTTTTCTTGCTCAGGTTCCCCCCAGCGAGTCAATGGCAAGGTGAAAGGAAGGATCTTTGTGGGGAACAGCCAGGTCCCCATTGTCTTTGAGAACACTGACCTCCACTCTTACGTAGTAATGAACCACGGGCGCTCCTACACGGCCATCAGTACCATTCCCGAGACCCTTGGATATTCTCTGCTTCCGCTGGCCCCAGTTGGAGGCATCATTGGATGGATGTTTGCAGTGGAGCAAGATGGATTCAAGAATGGGTTCAGCATCACTGGTAATTTACATCCGACATGAAAATTAATGGGTCACAGAGTGGTGCCTGGGGGGAGGCCTGGGAATGAATAGAAAGAGAACTCTGAGTCTGCAGACAACTTAGTGAAGAGCATGCTGTTGCTCCATTTTGTCAGAAGACAGGACATCCTGTAGTTCTATCCTGGAAATAAGATGATGAGGTAAAATGAACATGTAATATTACCATTAGTATATAGCAACCGAGACTGCCTAGAATTGGGTTTTGATTGAGGAGCAGTCTCCTGGTAGAGATTTAGGTGTTTCTGGCAGAACGAGTAATATCAGCTCATAGAACCTCACAGCCAAAACTGTGGGGCTCACAGTTTGCCTCATTCTATCAAGCCTGCCTCTGAATTCCAAACCAACCTGAAATTGACTTTGACATTTCCTTAGTATCTGCTCAGAGAGAAGGAACCTGTCATTTCTAGCTGGTTAATTAAGCTGCATCAACATAATCCTCAGAAGTCTTAGGAAACTTGAATATCTTTGGAGTTTTTTTAGAGACCATGCCCTACTGAGGAAGGTTCAGTCATTATTGGACATGTGGCCAGATGGCTTGAAGGATGTTTCCTTGGTGTTGTCGTGGCCTTTCCCTTGCTCTGCCGAGACAAGCCCAACCTTTGAGTGCTGCAGACCCACTCCCAGGAACAGCTGGGTGGAAGGAGTCTGTGTCCTTCATCGCTGGTCACTTCCAGGACCTGGAGCTTTTGTGCTGGGGCACAGGTACCTAGCCACTGCCTCTGACAACCTAGACCTGCCTTCTCCCGCACTGCCTCAGCCAACCTGGAGCCTTAGCCAAGGCTTTATTAGAGGAACCACTGCTGGAAGTAGAGTCTCCATCCAGGCTCCACGCTGGTAACCCCTCAAAGTCATGGCATATAAATACACAGAGTGTGGCTGTCTTAAGAAAGGAGAGGCTATGTATTAGAAAAGCAGTGAGGCTGGGCGCAGGGGCTCACGCCTGTAATCCTAGCACTTTGGGAGGCCGAGGAGGGCAGATCACAAGGTCAGAAGATTGAGATCATCCTGGCCAACACAGTGAAACCACTTCTCTACTAAAAATACAAAAAATTATCTGGGCGTGGTGGCGGGCACCTGTGGTCCCCAGCTGGGGGAGGCTGAGGTAGGAGAATTGCTTGAATCCAGGAGTTGGAGCTTGCAGTGAGCCAAGATCGTGCCATTGCACTCCAGCCTGGGCAACAGAGCAAGACTCCATCTCAAAAAAAAAAGGAGTGAACCTGCTCAAAAGATTTGCTACTTTATAATTGGGGGCAGTAAAACTCACAGACCCCACTCCTTCCCTGCACAGCTTTCACACTGGTGGTATTTTTAAATGAGTTCGTTTATATTGGTGATATTTTGTAATATACATGGACTTCAGCAGGGATGAGGGAGAGGGAGTCTGCAAATTCCCCACAATAGCACATCTCTGCTACTGCAGTGATCCTACTGAATTTCTCCTGGTCCTGTGTTATCAATGAGATATTTGCCTGGGACTTGTTCAACTATAAAGCTGGGGTTGTCTAACTTTTTCTGCAGAGGGCTTAATAGTAAATACTTTAAGCTATGCCTAAATATTTTAGGCCATATTGTCTCTGTTGCAACGGCTCAACTGTCATTGTAGAGTGAAAAGCAACCACAGACAACATATAAATGAATGAGCACGGCTGTGTTTCAATACAACTTTTTGAATGGGCACTGAAATTTAAATTTTATATAATTTTCACATACTATGAAATGCTGTTCTTTTGATTTTTTATTTTTTTAACCATTAATAAAATGTAAAGACCATTGGCTGGGCACAGTGGCTCACGCCTGTCATCCCAGCATGTTGGGAGGCCGACGCAGGTGGATCATGAGGTCAGGAGTTCGAGACCAGCCTGGCCAAGATGGTGAAACCATGTCTCTACTAAAAATACAAAAGAAAATTAGCCAGGTGTGGTGGCATGTGCCTGTAATCCCAGATCCTCAGGAGGCTGAGGCAGAGAATTGCTTGAACCCGGGAGGTGGAGGTTGCAGTGAGCCAAGATTGTACCACTGTACTCCAGCCTAGGTGACAGAGTGAGACTCCGTCTCAAAAGAAAAGAAAAAAAGAAGTAAAAACCTTTCTTAGCTCAAGGGTTGTACAAAAATAAGCAGCTGGCAAGATTTAGCCCTGAGGCCGTAGTTTGTCAACCCCTGCTATCATGGGGCAGGCCATTGTGGAAAAGGGAGAAGTACTTTTCCTGCCTGTCTGGGGCTGCCGTCTTGCACAGACCAAGAGAAGTTCCTGAGCCATCATGGTAGCATGTGATCCTAGGGTGGTTTTCAGTACTGGGAATGGTTTGCCCTGAGCAACTCACTCATCTGACCAGGACTTAGCTATTTCAATAATTATCACTGTAACTGGCATTGTGGGGCACCTGACAATTTGCAGAACATACATTGTGTCCTTTACAACATAGACTGTATTCTTTTTTTAATCACCAGGAAATGGAGACTCGGAGAAGTTAAGTAGCTTACCCAAGTTTACCCAGACAGAACCTAGCACCGCTGGGAGTCAAACTCCCGTCCTCTGCTATTTCCACAACAACTCTTGAGTCAACCCGTCGCAGATGCTGGTTTGTGGCTGGGAAGCCTCTTCTCTCCTCTGTGCATGGCTCAGCTGGGCTACAGGGATGTCTGAGCTCTCTCGTTGTCACCAGCTCCATGGTCTACCAGCCAAACTAAAGCACCCACAGAAGGGTTCACACCAATGCCGCTCCACACTGTGACCTGAGGTGGACAGAAGGGCATCCACCCCAGATGGCAAAGTGACAGTCTTGTCTTGTTTTTCAGGGGGCGAGTTCACTCGCCAGGCTGAGGTGACCTTCATGGAGCACCCGGGCAAGCTGGTCATTAAGCAGCGGTTCAGCGGCATTGATGAGCATGGACACCTGACCATTGACACGGAGCTGGAGGGCCGCGTGCCGCAGATTCCCTTCGGCTCCTCCGTGCACATTGAGCCCTACACGGAGCTGTACCACTACTCCAGCTCAGGTGAGCCCCACCGTGTCCCAGGACCAGCCTTGGGCCAGCCACCAGCCTCATGCTCCTGACCCACCGTGCAACCATGAGCTGGGACTGTCTCTGGAATCTGGAGAGGGAAATACACTGGGCCTTAGCTGCTTACAGTCACCTTCCCTCCTCTTACAGACATAGGACACACTCCTTGTAGAGAATTTTGTGCAAAAAAGACAATAGCATAACTTAGAATTGTAAAACCTGGACATAATTATTATGACATTTAAGTGTATTTCCTCTCAGCATTTTCTCCAGCATCTGTCTATTTACATGTATATCAAATATCCCAGCATATAATTTCCAGATAATATAATTAATATAATTTTATAATTGTATTATACATCTACATGTACCCTGTTTTGTTTTGTTTTGTTTTGTTTTGAGACAGGATTTCCCTCCCATCACCCAGGCTGGAGTGCAGTGGCATGATTTCAGCTCACTGCAACCTCTGCCTCCTGGGCTCAAGCAATCCTCCTGCCTCAGCCTCCCGAGTAGGTGGGACTACAGATACATGCTGCCACACCTGGCTAATTTTTGTATTTTTAGTAGGGATGAGGTTTCACTATGTTGGCCAGGCTGGTCTGGAACTCCTGACCTCAAGTGATCTGCCTGCCTCAGCCTCCCTAAGTGCTGGGATTATACAGGCATGCGCCACTATACCTGGCCACATCTATATGTACTTTTAAAAACTACACTTATAAAAAAAAAAAAAACTACACTTATTCTCCATTTGGTGCTTGGGTTTAAATAATTTCAAACTTACATGAAAACTGCAAATAGCACAAAAATTTTCACATACTATTTATCTAGCTTCACCAATTGTTAACATTTTGCCACATTTACTTTACCATTTTCTCTTTCACTCTCTATGTATATTCTGACCATTTCAGAATAAGTTGTATATATCATGATAGTTCATTCTTTAAATACTTCATTTGTTTTTCCTAAGAACAAGGACATTCTTTTACAAGGACACAGTAGTTATCAAAATTGGGAAATTTAACATGGATACACAGTGGTATGTATAGTATTTTTGTTTTTTTGTTTTGAGACAAGTCTTACTCTGTCGCCCAAGCTGGAGTGCAGTGGCACAGTCTCAGCTCACTGCAGCCTCAACTTCCTGGGCTCAAGCGATCCTCCTGCCTCAGCCTCCTGAGTAGCTGGGACTATAGGCACACTCCCATGCCTGGCCAATTTTCAAATTTTTGTACAGATGGGGTTTCGCCATGTTACATAGGGTTATAGTTTTTATTTAAATAAAATTGCAGTCATACCACATTGTTATAGCTTCACCTTTTCAGTTAGCACAATTCATGAATGTTTAATAGTTTCATTAAGCAGTCTTTGAAAACACTGTCTAGGCCGGGTGAGGTGGCTCATGCCTGTAATCCTAGCACTTGGGGAGGCTGAGGTGGGTGAATTGCCTGAGCTCAGGAGTTCGAGACCAGCCTGGGCAACATGATGAAACCCCATCTCTACTAAAGTACACAAAAATTAGCTGAGCATGGCAGCGTGCACCTGTAATCCCAGCTACTTGGGAGGCTGAGGCAGGAGAATTGCTTGAACCTGGAAGGCAGAGGTTGTAGTGAGCCGAGATTGCGCCACTGCCCTCCAGTCTGGGCGACAGAGCGAGACTCCATCTCAGGAAAAAAAAAAAAAAAGAAAACATTTTTAAAGGACTCTGTATGATGCTACTGGATGGCTATTAATTCAAACCATTCTTCTCTTTTCTAAAGCTTGGGTTGTTTCCAGTTTCCCCTCTCATTGTAAGTTGAAATGATCATCTTAATCATAAATCTTGGCCAAATTTCTGATTCTTTTCTAGGACTCAGTTCCTAGAAATAGAAGCACTGAGTCAAACAATAGGAACTTTTTATTTTTTTTTTAATTTATTTTATTTTATTTTTGAGACGATGTCTCGCTCATGTAGCGACCCATTGAATAATATTCATGAATATGAATTCCTATGGGGATCATTGGATTCCAGGTTAAGCACCCCTTTGGTTCTTTTTTTTTCTGGGTTGTTGTCGTTTTGAGACAACAACCTTGTTCTGTCTCCCAGGCTGCAGTGCAGTGATGTGATCTCAGCTCACTGCAACCTCCGCCTCCTGGGTTCAAGTGATTCTTCTGTCTCAGCCTCCCAAGTAGCTGGGATTACAGGCGCACACCACCACACACAGCTAATTTTTTGCATTTTTAACAGAGACGAGGTTTCCCCATGTTGGCCAGGCGGGTCTGAAGCTCCTGATCTCAAGTGATCCACCTGCCTCAGCCTCCCAAAGTGCTGGGATTACAGGCGTGAGCCACCACACCTGGCCACCTTTTTAAAGGCTCTCATTAAATTGCGGTTCGGAAAGGTTGCACCAGTTACTGGGGTTGAGTTCTCCTTCTGGGGAGCTGGGAGCCAGTGAAGATGAAGAGGAATGAGCAGCAGGACCACAGTCGTGATCGGGCAATCGGCTTGCAGCTGAATGGCCTTTCTGGCACGTGGGAGCTGGACAGAGGCAGCTTACACTGATCTTTTATTTATCCTCTGGCTTTTATGCTTCTGTTATGGAGCAAACTGCAGCAGAGCACAAAAAGATAAAGAATCCTTTATTCTTTTTTAAAAAAAGCAGGAAGTTGAGGGTTTTTTCATATGGGCCGTAGTGAGCGGGGAGGATTGTCCCTCCTCTCCTCTATTCAGGCTTGCTTGGTTCTTTAGTAATTTTTCCAAACTTGGCTACTGAAACTCATTTAGTATCTCATTTTTTTAGTATTGCAGAATGGCTTAGTCTAGAGCGGTATGTAGAAATCACATTTATTGGCAAGGCACGGTGGCTCACACCTGTAATCTCAGCACTTTGGGAGGCTGAGGCAGGTGGACCACTTGAGGTCAGGAGTTCAAGACCAGCCTGGCCAATATGGTGAAACCCCATCTCTACTACTACTAAAAAAAAGAAAAAAAAGGCCGGGCGCGGTGGCTCAAGCCTGTAATCCCAGCACTTTGGGAGGCCAAGGCGGGTGGATCACGAGGTCAAGAGATCGAGACCATCCTGGTCAACATGGTGAAACCCCGTC